TTTCTCCAGGTTGGATGTACACCCCATCTTCTTTTAGTAGTTTCGCTTCGTTTTTCCAATACTTCATCATCGATGGCAATTGCAATAGCTGCCAATTCAAATTGTGAAAATTGCATATTTATGTAAGCGTGAAATCTATCGACAGATGAAATCACTAGCTGACAAAAACCACATAACACAGAGTCGTGCATAAGCCACGGTCGTGCAAACAGCCCGGTGTAACATGAATGACTGGCCCGGCCAGCGCACGGAGGACGTGTCCCGGCCGGGCACGGCCCGGTGGCAACACGTTGTAGCGTGAATCATCCTTAATTCGTCGGTCGTAAAATGCCCATATAGGTGTCGGGAAACAACGGTAAAGTTACTCACGTCTATTACTGCAATCTAGAAAAAGTTAAACTCGCCCAGTAAGAAGAGGCCCATCTCCGGCAGTGAACTCTTGCGTGCTGGAGAAGTATGCAGGTTTGTTTATAATGGTTCGTATTTACAGTCATTTTCGTGATTTTATTTCTCAGAGGTGTATAATTTGACGTATAATAAAATTGCGTTGTTAATGACCTAGTTTTTACTCATATGTACAGCAGTATTAATCGAATGAGCCTAACGGCCACCGCATCGCCGGAACTGTTCGAGATCAGTGGCTCAGAAACTGATAAGCTTTTATTATATATAATATTGTTATAGAACATGGTTCAGAAATGTCTGTTAACACCACAGGAATTGCAGGTGCGTTGCCAGCCTTTCACAAAGGAGTAGGATCTTCTCTTGAAGATCCCTAAGTCATATCGATTCAATTCGGTGATAGCCACTTCTACAAAGAAGTAGTGCTTAAAAAACATTTGGTAAATGACGACCTTTGTGGCGATGTTTCATTTGATCTTTTGATTGCATCCTTCGATCAACAATACCAACTGTAACAATACAACTTGGTATTATTGATCGAAGATTGTAACATTCTCCAGAAAAAATTTCAATAAATTAAGATAATCTGCGAAGTATCATCTTCGAGCAGAGAACCGCATTTTAAGAGGGTGATAGACTAAACAAACTAAAAATAATAAAATAATTACATGTACCTTATAATTCAATTGCTTCCAAAGTCGAGGCTCTGATTCTTTGATACACTATGTCTTAGGTTTTAGCACCAGCCTCGGTAGTTATTAAATTATTTGAATATAATTTAAATACTTTTATATTCCTTTAAAGGGTTTCACCTTTTTTTTTAAGTTTTATTATTTGACCCTTTTCAGTGGATTTAGTAATATCATAACCTCAAGGTAACATCTTAAATTTCATCTACATAGATTATCTGTCAATCCTTTGGCCCCCGCGCACTAAGCAGCCTGGCTGCGGCAGCCAGTCGAATATATGAAGGTGTATGGGAACCCGCGCACCTAAGAAGCCATGAACTCCCGGCTGCGGCAGCCATAAAAGCGCGCCTGATTGCACGGCAGCCCGTTGGCTGCGCGCAGCCAGATCAAGTAGGCGAATGTATGTGGCTGCCGTCAGTCAACGCGCACTTGTCGTAGCAGCCAGACGTATTTTTTGTTCCGAAACCACAAAATGACGTAGAAAGGGTCACAACTGGCCATCCATTGACTGCTTAGAAGTGGCTGCTCAAATATTTCGGCCGCCGCAGCCTGGCTGCGCAACCAGGCTGCCTAGTGCGCGGCACGCCTTATTCTTTTACCATTAGGTGGTGAATATTTCTTCAAATTTAAATAGCCTTACTATATAGTCGTTTCAATAAAAAGAATCATATAAATCGGTTCTCAATTGGTGAAGATATCTCATAACATACATTACAAAAATTTACTTCAATTTCCCAATTATTTTAACCACTTCCTATTTGAACTTGGCTATAAACAATTTGACGACTGACTCAAATGTATTTCTTACGTCCGTGAAGAAGACATACTTAACAATAACAATATAACTTATGTAATAGTTCAAGTGAGTCTGTGTAAACAAAAACCAAGTTATTATCCCGTTGATACAACGTTTATAACATTTTTATCGTAACATAATGTAATTCGTTCTACGGCGGATATAAACGCTTTCCGGAAATCATATTGAAGGAATATTAGATCGTATAGTAGCAATATTGTTTCGGCAATAAGCAACGCATGAAGTTTTTATAACAGTTATATTAAACATTGCTTGAATATAACGGTATCTGATATTTACGCAAAGATATTTAAGTAGTAGTAAACCTATATATTTAAATCTCTTTGTATTTACGCTACATATTGAAGTAAAGTCGGAAATCTAAACATCTATACAAATAAATAAAATTGAAGTGTCCGTTTTTAATGTTAAAGTAACAGCTTTTTACTGAATGCATACGGAAGTATATACGGTACTTATAACGAAAACACAATTTTTAAAATTTTTGTCTATCTGTCTGTCTGTTTGTTCCGGCTAATCTCCGAAACGGCTAGACCGATTTTGACGGGATTACCACCGGCAGATAGCTGAAATTATAAGGAGTAACTTAGGGCACTTTTATTTCAGAAAAAGAATTAGAGTTCCGAGAAAAAAAATTAAAACCCATGAAATCGTAGTAAATTCCACACTAGCGAAGTCGCGGGGACAGCTAGTTAAATGAGGCTATCGGCGCAAAAGTGGTGTAACCGACAATTTACGTTGGTTACGGTTCTGGTGTAAGATATGTTCTTTACAATATAAATGTTCAGTGCAATAGTCGACTAAGCTACCTTTTTGTATCCAAAAACAGATGGCGCTAGAAACATAGTTTTTGCCAAAGACGTATTAAAAAAGATAGGTTACACACTAACATTATTGCATTTTAAGGGGCTACTCCATGCGAACGACCTTGAGCATTTGACCGCTTGCTACAATATTAATATATTGTAGCCGGGTTATAGCTAAAGTGACCATACGTCCCGTTTTGAACGGGACTGTCCCTTTTCTCGGTCTCCTGTCCCATTGTCCCCAAACAAAGCTCCGGGACACAAAATTGTCATGGATGGAAGTATTCAAAGTCAACAATCTTCAACATAATTTTTTTTAATCGAATATATTTTATGTCTACCTTGTACGAATGCTCCGGTAGAAAGAGTATTTTTTTATTTTGCATAAATTGTGGACGTCTGAAAGAAACACTTACGGTTCCAGAGTTCTAAAGGCGATGTTGTTAACAAAGATAACAATAAAAAACTTGAGCAGAATTTTATTCTTATTTAAAATCATCACCAACTTTATTAAAGCAAATTTAATCCACTGACAAATGTAATTAATAATTAAAAAAAATATGTTGCATTTAATAATTACCGTCTATACCGAATATAATTTTATAGTGAACACTAATTGTATAAAGTTATAGTTTTTAGAGTATAAATAAACCCATGTCCTGTTATGAGTTAAAAAATAAATGGTCAGTTTAGTCTTTTTAGTTAAATTTAGTTTTAAAATTTTTTAGTTTATAGTAATAAGTAGGTATATTAGTACTTTTTACCGAATTATAAGTATAGAACACCTTATGTACTCAATTATTTTTTGAAAAAGAAGAAAAAACAAGCAATAAATAATATACTATATTTTAGCAAAAAACTATAACTTAGTAATACTAATTATAACTTAGAACATAAATGAAAAACTCATAACTGACTTTTTGGCCCGACCCAGGATTCGAACCCGGGACCTCATGATCAGCAGTCGCACTACTACAACCACTAGACCAACGAGGCAGTACTATACCTGATAAGATATTGTGGTTGGGTGATAATATTGAATTAGCCTTTTATAGTGTAAATTATAATATTTGTCGAAATTTTAATTATGGATTCGAACCTTACATGCTAATGGTGCTTCATTTTTTTATTTGTATTTACTTCAAAGAAAATACACGCAAAAAGCTTCATCGCGCAGTAAAAAACACAACAAATATATGTATAACTAATACGAAAAATTATACCCAAAACAAACAAATAATACTACCTATAAATAACCTAATAAGTAATATTATTTATCGACTGATATTACGTGAGTGTATGCGGCGCTGGTCGACGCTCTAACGACACGGGCTTCGCGTCGAAGAGCTCAGGCTCAATGACTCCAGCAAGCCCGTGAGCAGTGAATATGCCCAGATTTTAAAATAATTTCTTAATAAAATCAAATTTTGGTCTTTTGAAAAAAAATTTACTATAGAAATGTTCATTAATAAATTGCCTATCCATTGGTGTAAATCGCAAAATAAAATAATACTTACTTTACGAGGAGATGCATGTTATCAATAATAATTTCACATTTATGTGGTTTCGTTGTAAGGAGATTATATTAATATTTATTCCTTTAAAAAAAAATTGGATATAGCTTTTATGGAATCAAGATTATGTAGAAATATAATGTGTTTTTTATTTGTTGATATATCTTTTAAATAAAAAGTAGATAGCTTCTAAAAACCGCCCAAATAACGACTAGCGCGACATTACACTGGCGGTTAGTGTTGAAATAATAAAACCAATTATAAACAAAACATCTATATTCAAAATATTTATAAGACGTTTTTCTTATCTCTAACGATTGCCGTGTAATTTGTGCACTACCTAAAAACACAGGAAGCATTTTTACCACGAATAACTAGAAGATTTACGTGCTGAAGCGAAGGTATAGCCGCGACGCGAGAGCGTGCCCGACTGAATGCGAGTCGGGCAATTATCTGACTTTCGTATTTCCATTTTAGAGCGAGTAGGTGACGTATCTATACTTTAAAAACATCTTAAGTATTTGCACGGGCGTTACAACCAAGTACCATAGTGCAAGAGTAGTGTAAACCCTACTTACTCCCGTATTGAACACTGGAATCGTGTATTACAAAAGACAGCTTTGGACTTTCTGCTTTGGGATTCACAACATGGGGACAGATGATGCCTACATGTGTGCTTGGGACAAGTCAGATGCATCAAGAGGACTCCAAGAAATTGGATCTTGCTTGCTGTACTTTTTTTTTAAATTTTGTGACTACTAAAAAAGTAATCATGTATTCTGACCAACGCGGAGGACAGAATAGAAACATAAAGTTATCATTGTTCTGTCAGGATGTGGTATCTCATCCGGACTTTACTATTGAAGAAATAGATTATAAATTTTTGGTCAGTGGGCATTCATACTTACCATGCATTCAAGATTTTGGCCTAATAGAGAAGAATAAAAAAAAATCAAAGAAATTCATTCATTCCAGAGAACTGGCTCGAAGTAATTAAAACGGCTCGCAAAAAAACAACCATTTAAAATAATAAGAATGACAGGTAGGGATTTTTTTCCTCTAAATCACTGGAAAAAAATATAACAAACCGAAAAATTTCGCTTGATTATAACAATGGTTGAAAATTCAGTGGTTGGAATTCCATAAACTTCATCAATTTTCCTTTTCTACAAGTATTCCAATAATGAAGAAGTCATCTTTAATGAAGTCAGTCTAAAAAAACGGCAATCAGTGACCATAGCACACCTAGATACATACATACATATACATAAACACTCACGCCTGTCACCCAGAGGGGTAGGCAGAGACTACGGACTTCCATTTGGCGCGATCCTGACACACCTCTCTCGCCTCTTTTACATCCATATATCTACGCATACACGCTCGTCGGTTAAGGGTACTCCTAATCTGGCCCATTTTTAATGTATCGCCGATTTGGTCGATAAACCTTCGTCTAGGGCGTCCCTTCTCGACCCTGCCGTTCACTTCCGCAACATAAATTTGCTTTGTCACTCTTTCCTCGTTCATTCTTTCTACATGACCAAACCACCGAAGCATTCCTTTCTTAATCCTTGTCACAACGTCATCTTGCAAACCACACTTTTCTCTTATCACACTATTTCTCACCCTGTCATTCAGATTCAGCCCTAGCATACTCCTTAAGGAACGCATTTCTACAGCATTTATTCTACTCTCATGCTTCTTCTGCCAGACCCAACTTTCACTACCATACATTAAAGTAGGGACTAACACAGCATTATGAATTGCCATACGTGCCTTAGTTGACACATTCTGACTCCTCATAATAGCGTGTAGAGCCCCATTCACTCTATTTCCTGCGTTCACTCGTCGTTCTATATCCTTATCATATCTACCATCCCTGCTAAATAAACATCCCAAATATACAAACTCATCCACTTGCTCAATCAACTCCCCTTCTATTCTTATTTCACATAAAGTTTTACTTTCTTCTCTTTCAAAAACCATCACTTTCGTCTTACTTGTGTTCACTTTCATACCCCTTTCTTTCAATGACCAATTCATTAAAGTAACCATCATTTGCAACTCGGCCGCCGACGATGCAAATATGACTTGATCATCGGCGTACAAAAGGCATTTGACGGTTGACTCACCCATTCTCAACCCACATTCTTCAACTTTCAAAGTTTGCAAACAACTGTCCATAAATAAGTTAAACAGCCACGGGGAAGCCACACATCCCTGTCTGACACCTTTATGAATGCCAAACCAGTCCGAGTAGACCCCGTTGATCCTGACACAAGCACTAGAGTCCCTATAAAGAGATCTTAATGCCTGTATCAAGCCAGCGCTCAACCCAAATGAGTTCAGTGTTTGCCATAACACATTCCTGTCCACTCTGTCATAAGCCTTTTCCAAGTCCATGAACGCACAAAAAACTTTCTGGTTTTTAGCCAAAAACTTCTCCGCTATCATGCGCATGGAAAAGACTTGATCCGTACACCCCATCCCCTTTCTAAATCCAGCTTGCACATCCCAAATTTTTCCATCAGTTTCTTCCATAACTCTTTCAATTAACACCTTAGCATACAGTTTACCCACAATGCTAAGCAAGCTGATACCACGGTAGTTTTTACAGTCCTGCTGCGACCCCTTTCCCTTATATATTGGGACTATAACGGCTTTGCACCAGTCTTCCGGTACCCGTTTCAGTTCCCAACACAAATTAAACAAGGTGTGCAGCAGGCCTGTAACCACACCCTCACCAGCCCTCAGCATTTCGAGTGATACTCTATCATATCCGGCTGCCTTACCTGCTTTCATGCTTTTCATTGCTTTCATTATTTCATCTACACTTATCTCCCTACCTCTCTCCACTTCTTCCGGAATTTCTATTTCACTTATTCCAGACGACTCTTCACTCTTAAACACGCTTTCAAAGTATTCCTTCCATCTCTTTAAATTCGAAACTTCATCATTCAGCATGCAGCCATTCTCGTCTCGTATAGCATTTATTCTAGGCTGTTTTGAATTTCCCCTGGCAGTTCTTACGAGCTTCCAGAACATTTTAATATTTGCCTGGAAGTTATCAGATATCCTTCTATCATTCTTATCTATCCTTTCTTGCTTTTTCCTTTCAACAACTTCTTTTACTCTCTTATTTATACGTCTAAAGTCTGCCTTTTTTCTTTCAATCTCATCATTCATACCGCCAGAATTACCAGCTTTAGTTGCTAGTAAATCTAGCCATGCTCTCTTCTTTGCTTCAACTTCCATCCGTACCTCATCATCCCACCACAACGTATTACTTTTCCTTTCATTCGTTCTCTTACTTACACCGCATACTTCGGTGGCTGCATCCACCAAAACTTTCTTAATATTATTCCATACATTCTTCAATTCTAAATCATTCATACATAATTCATTCAACCCACTTATATTTTCCCTCAATCTGCATTTATACTTCTCTTTCACACCTTCATCTTGTAACCTCTCTATTCTTATACGCTGTAACGCAGTGGTAGACACCGATGTCCGATGCCGCCAACGTCTGAATAGACAATTAATTCGACATAAGACCAAGTAATGATCCGTCCCTACGTTGGACCCCCGGTAAACCCTTGTATCTACCACTGCGCTCCTCATTCTTTCATCCACAATTATAAAATCTATCATGCTTCTATCATCCCCTCTTTCCCATGTATACATGTGAATCCTCTTATGGCGAAAGAAAGTGTTCGCCACAAAAAGATTCTTTTCCACACATACGGTGAGGAGGTCTTCACCATTCTCATTTATTCTTTCATCGCCAAACGTTCCTAATATCCTTTCATAACCAGACCTCTTCACCCCAACCCTTCCATTAAAATCTCCTAACATAATAATATTTTCATTTTTCTTACATTTCATCAACACCAGCCTTACCATGTCCCAAAACTGCTCTCGGATATAAGTGGGCTTAGACATATCTGGGGCGTACACCCCTAGCACAAACAACTTCTTTAAGCCCACTTTCATTCGCATCCACAGCAGCCTTGGGCTAAAAAATTCATACTCTTTCACACATTGACCCATTCTTTCTGAAAGGATGACACCGACTCCTTGGCATGCCCGCTCGGTCTCGTCTACTCCAGACCAGTAAGCAGTATACATGCCATGTGCAGTGACATCTCTTCCCTTTCGTTTTGTCTCGTTTACACATAACACATCTATTCCTCTATCATTCATCATTTCGCATACTTCATCCATCTTATCATTCATTGCTCCACATACATTCAGCGTGGCCAGACGGGCCTCCGCAATCCACTTTTCGCCCCCCCGGGAGACAGGACGTGACGGGTGGCGAACCTCGTCGCCGGTTTTTCTCCCGGAGATTCTTCGCACCCCTGCCCCATTAAAGGGGCGCCGGGAACTCGGGGCCATTTCTTTTCCTTCTTGGCTCATGGTGCGAACTAAGTGGTGGTAGATTTTACGCCGCTACCATACGGCGAGGAGCCGTGTCTGTCGTTTCGGCTTTGTCGCTCGTTTAGCACCACCCGGGGGACACGTGTAGGGTGGGCCTAGGATTAGGTGGTCGAAGCCTACGGACGCGAGCGACTCATCCCCCTAGATGTACTGGAAAAACCAACCATCGCTGAAAAAAGAAGAAAGATCTTCTTGAATTGTTGCAGTTCATACCGCCAGTTCATCACACTTTTTATAACAATCTAGATAGTTCAAACAGTGTCAGGGATGTAGCGTATTATGATGAGACAGATGAAGAATAACCCTTGTTGTGCTATTTTGATGGTGTTCTTATTAAATTTATCTTGATTTGGTGTAACCTGTTTATTATTTAAAATTAAACCAAAATATCATAAGTGCAGAAGTGGTGTAATCCACATTTTTATTTTTATTTTAAGCTTAATTATCACAAAGGTACTCAAATATTATAGATTTAGAAGTTCTTTTTATAAATTTAATTAAAAACAGTTAAAATAATGTTCATAAAAGAAACAAGGTTAAAAAACAATTCATCGAAATTTTAACTCCTCATTATCTCATAATAAGTAGTGTGGGGTTACACCACTTTTGCGCTGATAGCCTCAAATATAAGTTAAAATTAAACGTGATAAAATCTTTGAAAATATATTAATTTATTATATGACAAGCCGACAAAATAGAATAGGACGTGTGGCGGCTTAAGAAAATCTACTAGATGTTGGGACACCTTTACTGAATATAGAGGGTGTCGTGAGAGGAAATGTCAGAAAATCTTATAGCTTTCGATTGGTAGCTAAATAGCCATCTACGTCAATCTTAAAATATCCAGGCTATCAAGTGGGAACAGCGTCAATCCGCCCTGCAGGGAGTACAAATCATCCCTGCAGCTGGAGAGGTCGATGTCCATCTATGGACTTCTAAGAATAGAATAGAATGGAATGCAATACAAGAATACTTAGGTATTGAAAGTCAATTACGGTCTGATGATGAAGATGAAAAAGATGACGTGTTCCCATAACGACTAAGAACTTAGTATTGTTTCTTACTTTTTAAGTTTACTTATTTCGAAGCCATATAGTATGTATTTCACTTAATTTACAATAATTTAGAATTTGAATTAGTTCTTTCATGAATTATTATTTGCCCACACTGATAAAACACTATACGCATTTCAATTTTTCTTATTACCGTAATATCAAAATTCATACTAGAATATTTTTCAAGATACATAAACTACGGACTGCTATTAAACGTAAGGTAGGCGTGTAGTATGAGCTACACTTTATTGTAACAATCCGGGTTAGTGGAAAACATTGCTTAGATAATGCTACAGGCGTTGTCGGTGACGAGGGTCAGGTTGGTATCGTCAAAATATTATTGTTATCTTGAGCTCTAAAGTATATTGCGGTCCTAAATCTACACTTTGAATTATGGAGCTGTGTAACAGTAGCAAGGGGCTGGGGGTTCGCTTAAAATTTTATATAACTTGAAGTCTATTCCTAGTGTTGGCAGCCCTGTAAATTAAAATGAGAAAAAGACTATTCCAAATAGAAAAAAAAATTGTTTGCCGTTAGTAAATTTAGTTATGTCAGAGTGGAAATACTAGAATACAGTTAAATAGCTCACCTGATGTTAAGTGAATACCAATAGTATATATAATAGTATAGAATAGTAAGTATATATAGGAAGTGACTACCGCCGCTCATTAAATTTTGCTCTTTGTTCAAATCCTATAATCTTGATAATTTATTCTTTGAAGCTACACGTATTGCAGGGTGTAGTGCAACTTGTATTGATAATATTTTTACAGGTGTTGTACCAATCAACAAATCAATAATTCAAAAACTTAGTTCAGATCACTGTGAACAACTGGTTTCATTACCTTATATGCACAAAGAAAACAGGTAATTGAGAAAAGTGTGTTTGTTCCTATTAATACAAAACGCCTGGAGAGATTTAGAAGTAATATCTTAAAAAACCTTACATCACTTTCTTATAAGAACATTGCAGACTACTTATATGGAGAATTATTTACCCTTAGAAGCAATGAATTTAAAAAAAACATTTACTTCTAAAACATTCTCCAGAAACAGTCGCAAGGCATTTAATGAGTGGGCGACAGTAGGAATTCATAAAAGCAGACGAAGGTTATGTGACCTTTACCATGAAAGATCATATAATCTTTCCGATGCTTTTAAAGAATATGTTAAAAATTATTCTAAAATGTTTAAAAGAGTTTGCTCCAAATCGTTACATATTAGCAAAAACAGCCAAATCGTTACATATTAGCAACAAAATTAAGACGGCCAAGAATAAAATTAAAATGACGTGGAGTATAATTAACAATGAAACCGGTAAAGACAAACCTCGTAACTCAAACTATTAATTAAAAATTAACAATGAATTGACTAAATAAAATCAAGAAATCGCAGCGGTGTTTAAAAAATATTTCACTGATATTCCTATCTTGACAACCGAGTCATTGAATATTTCTCCTACTGTCGCCGAGTCATTACTCAAACAGAATGTTAACACCTGTTTAAAAGAATTTAGATTTGAAAAAGTATTATCGCAAGATGTTGTAAAATACTTCAAAACCATTGATGTAAAGAAAACCGCAGATTTGTGGGGGATTTCCGTTACAGTTATTGCGTCCATAATAGATTTAATTGCACCTCATCTTGCTATTATTTTTAATACTTGTATCGATTCTGGTGTGTTTCCTGATTTAATGAAGTATAGTAAAGTAATACCTTTATTTAAATCTGGTAGTACATTGGACCCCGCTAATTTTAGACCTATTTCTGTACTACCAACTCACAGTAAAATTTTAGAAAAAATTATTTTGGTTCAATTGTTAACTTTTTTTAATACAAATAAATTACTTCATAAAAACCAATTTGGTTTTACAAGGGGTCGCTCGACGTCTGACGCCGGTGTTGAGCTTATGAAATATATTTTTAATGCCTGGGAGAATTCACAAGATGCCTTAGGTATTTTCTGTGATCTTTCCAAGGCTTTCGATTGTGTTCATCATGAGACATTAATCAGGAAACTATAACATTACGGTGTAAAAAATTTAGCGCTTAGACTTATTACTTCATATTTAAGTAACGGAATTCAAAAAGTAGTGATTAATGGTAAAGGTTCCTCCGGATCGGTAGTATCAATGGGCGTTCCTCAGGGCTCGATTCTTGGCCCATTCCTGTTTTTTATCTATATTAATGACTTACCTTATCTTGTAGGGGACAATCACGATATAGTATTATTTGCTGACGATACCTCTTTAATTTTCAAACTCAAACGACAGTTAATTAATTATGACGATGTAAATAATACTCTATCGAAATTGGTACATTGGTTTAACGCCAACAATATAATAACTCACAGAAAACCGGCGTAAAGTGGGTGCTCAGGCTGCCCCGCGTATTCTGGGGGGGGGGGGGGCAAAATTCCGCTCAAAAACATAACTGCTCGGGGCAAACTGAGCAACAATACCAAGGCGACCCCTGCCACGCTATCCGTGAATTTCTGCAACATCGGGGGACTTCACTCTAACCGTCCACTACCATCTCGAGACGGCGAAGCCGGCCTTGCTCTTTCTGAACGAGACGCAGATTTCCTCTCCGGCTGATATTTCGTATCTCTCCTACCCGGGGTACGAATTGGAGCACTCCTTTGTGCTTCGGGCTGGAGTTTGCGTGTATGTCAAAGAGGACATCTGTTCTCGACGCCTCGGCAGTCTTAAAGGTTCGGACCTGTCCATCCTTTGGCTACGCGTAGACAGCGACGACCATCCGCGCGTCTACGGGTGCCTCTATAGGTCCCATAGCGGTAATGCCGAAACAGACAGACTCAACGACCACGTCCAAATGGCTACAGATTCCTTGCTACAACAGGTCCCATCCGCAGGGATCGTGATCCTTGGCGATTTTAACGCCCACCATGCTGAATGGCTCGGTTCACGTTTAACCGTTCATGCGGGGAGATCTGTTTATGACTTTGCCTTGGCATATGGTCTGACACAACTGGTTACTTCGCCTACACGGATTCCAGATGTGGAGGATCATACACCTTCCCTGTTGGACCTTCTGCTGACTTCTCATCCGGACGGATATCAGGTTTCCGGACCATTCAAGCTCTTCGGACCATTGTCTGATCCGGAGTATGATGCCACTCACGCTCCCTTCACGGTTGCGTTCTGCAGGTTGCCGCCGTGTTTGGTATTACAGGACGGCGGATTGGGACGGAATGCGGTCTTTCTTCGCATCCTACCCATGGGGGCGGGTTTGCTTCTCGCCGGATGATCCCAGCGCTGTTGCTGACTCTGTCACTGATGTGGTGCTACAGGGAATGGAACTATTTATTCCATATTTATGCCTTGGTTTGGTCGCTCCTGTAAGACTGCATTACGCAGTAAGCAGGAGTGTTATTAAGCCTGGGCTGCGGCTTCGGCAACTCGGGATGTAAACACCAGCACACTTAAAAAGAAGTATAACTTCGCCTCCAGGTCCTTCAAAAGAGTTATTGCCAAGGCAAAGTCAGAGCACATAGGCAGAATTGGCGAGAAACTAGTTCGCCTTCCTTCGGGAACCCGTGCATTCTGGTCTCTCGCCAAGGCTGTCCAAGGGAATTTCTGTAAACCATCACTATCATCTCTGCACAGGGAGGACGACTCACTGGCCCAAGACGCAAAAGACAAAGCCGACCTTTATGCTCCCTTTTTGCGTCCAACTCGACTCTTGATGACGGGGGGAAAACACCGCCCACCATCCCGCGGTGTGAGTGCTCCATGCCGGATGTGCTGTTCTCACAGCGCTCGAATCCCCCCAATTGTTCTGAGGACGTATGCTCCGGAGTTGGCACCGGTCCTAATGCGTCTTTTCCAGTACTCCTACTCCCAAGGCGTAGTCCCGAATTCATGGAAGACAGCTTTCCTCCCGATCTCTAAAAAAGGCGACCGCTCAGACCCATCCAACTATAGGCCTATCGCAATCACCTCCTTGTTCTCCAAAATAATGGAATCCATTATTAACTGCCAGCTCATCCGGTACCTTGAGGATCATCAGATGATTAGTGACCGCCAATACGGTTTTCGTCGGGGTCGATCAGCTGGTGATCTTCTGGTCTACCTGACCCATAGATGGGCGGAGGCAGTAGAGTCCAAGGCGGAGGCGTTGGCCGTTAGTCTGGACATTGCGAAGGCCTTCGGTCGGGTTTGGCACAAAGCGCTTCTTTCGAAGCTCCCTTCCTATGGACTTCCCGAGAAATTGTGCAATTGGAT